CCAACCCAATGTCCTATCTGATAAGACAAATTACATCTTAATCAAATATTGACATATATATCTCCCACATACTTCGGTCTTGTTTAATGTTACATCACATCTGTTGTATTTTGAGAAAGTAACACCATCAACTGTTTTCTCAGGTAGATGTTTCATCCACACAGACTAAAATAATAGCCTTTGCCAACAAAAAAAGAGAGAGAGAGACATTGGGTTGTTCAGTAACACAGCTGCAAACGCATACGCGGCCCCAGGAATTGATGCAACCCATCTAACTAGAACAGATGTTATATCAGAGTCATCTGTTGGGAACAAACTGAATTACAAAAGCAGGCGGCGCAGATCGTTGATCACAGGCTCCGCCTACCACATATTTAGCCACGCCTTGCTTCTCCCTCCCTTGTTGATGTCAGGGGGCCCCGTAATTGATTGACGGATTGGACAAGGGGTCTCATGAGGATAGGGTAAGCGTAATAATGGCTGCCGAACACCAAGGAAGGCGGGAAAGTACTGCAGTAGCGCATATATCAAGTCGGTAACAAATAGTCCACAGCGAGTTAGTGGAACCAGCCTGACAGACGAAGACGGACTCGCGACTTGTCAGCACCACGAATGGCTCGAACGTGGAACAGTTCGGATTTCTGCAAAGCGGTTTGCGACTCATGGCTGTGAGGGATGCGACACACTGCAGTCATGCAGATGCTTGCCACTGTTTCGGAGGAACCTGATGCCCGTATCTTCAGGGAAGAATTCCACAGACGTTTGAACGTCTGTCGCGTAAACAAAAATCTTATACTGAACAGGCGTTCAGACGAACATAGTTCACGCCAATGCAGGATAAAAGGGGGCAAAGTGCCCTCAGAGACCTTTTTCTGGAGTCCCAATCTGACACTAACTTTGGGCCCATGCTTAAAAAATAAGATTAAAGAAGAATTTTTTGTGAATTTTGCACAGCCCTACGGCAGGCCTGCTTTCCATCAGCCTATTCTACTTATGATATAACCTCTCGTTTAAGCCTACATGACACTAAAATCGAACCTTTGCCTTTCCAAAAATTGTAAGGGCCAACATTCTAAAAACAGTCTATAACTTGTTGAAAGAACAGTTTTATAGGCCACGGATCAGAGACCTTGAAAAGCTGTACGGCTAGTACACTGAGTTAGTCAAGAAATTCCCTGTCTTGTAAGAACCCCAAAGGTTCATTAGGCCAAGAGCCGAATTAACAGCCAGCCACCTGATCTAGATGAATCCAGTCCAAACCACAAACATTCGTTCTCTAAGATCCATTATAACAGAGTCCTACCATCTAAAATATGCCTGGATTTTCAGAGAATCCTTTTCCCTTCAGGCCTTCAAACTAAAATTTTCTCATCTACAGAAATTTCTGTGCCAGGTTTCCTACTTCCTTCGAGGGAGGGGAGTAATAGATAAACACGGACAAATATCCATGCCTAGGGCAGGATTCAAACCCACGACTCCAGTGGGCGCGCGGTGACTACGACAAATTGTATAGACATTCGAATACAAAAGCCCGAATTCAAGGAACTTCTGGTCAATCTAGATCAGGCCTAAGATAGTCTAAGCTATTTTCCAATCTTAAGGCCCAGGCCTGCGTCTCCTAACAACAACAAAAACAACAATAACAAAAGAAAATAAAAGAGCTTTTCGAGACAACGGAGTGCCACGTAGTGTCATACGAAATAATTATTCCATTTCATCAGTTTGTAGACTTGCGTCCCCAGCACCAACCTGTTCGTCTTCATTATTCAGCGTGAGTCAGCTCCTCAACACAACGCCCCCATGACAACGTGCAGCACTCCTCTTATCAGTGGCGTGCACTACGCTTTGCACAGACTGCTGAGATGGATCTCCAGACCTGGCCTCACTTCCGTATCAATGGCGTCACTGGGACCTCATGACCCTCATAGCTAGAGGCGTCTCGCCACTGACGACATCCTGAATAGAATCTCAAAATCGTAGTTCTTTCCCAGCGGCCAACTATGAAACCCATCTAACTTCTTCTTGAAAACGTTTGGTGTTTCTCATGAATACCGTATTAACATATCATATCCATTTGACACTTTCAAGGTGCCACTACTTCAATATCGCATCCAGCTCATCCATTAACTTAACAACCAAAAACACCTTACGAAGCACTTCCTTAGCTTTTAAGATGATATAGTCGTTAATAAGTCGAGAATAAGTTATCATTAAAAAAAACTCGGACCACAGAAAGTATTCTTGGTGTTAATACTTGCAATCTTAATAGGACTGGCCTATGAGCACTTTCATGCTCAGTTCAGTGATCGCTTGGCATCAACAGTGCAGTAGATCTACGTTAAACTTCATAAACAACCACTTCGTTCAAGATACGCCACTGAGCAACCCATTATATTTTTTTTAATTTAGACAACACAGCATAAAACATCAAAAGAATATAAAATAAATTATCACTTAGGATACCTCCATTAACCACCCACTACAGAGCGATGTGTACACACAGCAGCAAGCTGAACATCCCAACTGTTGACTACGCTCCACCTGTCTTCACGTACAAATAACGACAGCATAACACCCGTCCATCAGATTCGTCACGAAATTAGGTATGACTAGCATAAGCCTATTGCCCGATTCTTTTGCTATGATACGAGATACGTATCTTTGGTCGTCTTTTTAGGAAGACGAATTATATTTCGCCGAGGTCTCAAATCTTAACATGCTACTGTTATGTAACATCAATAAAACCATAGAATTCTCAGCTGGAACCAATTGGCACCATCAAATCCAACTCCTTTCTATTCTCTGCCCACCATAAGTCTTCCAAAAACTCCCAGAAATTGCATAGTAACTGCAATGTTTGCCGAAAAGTTAAAAAAAAAAATTCAACACTCGATGCGGTTCATCCCCGACAGTCGAAGTTGTACCTATTATTTCACCGCCAAATAATTTCCTCTTCAACATTAATGGAATGATCACCGTTGTCTGTTCCTTTCACACATTGAGTGATGTCAGTCCTTCTAACCAGCACAGAAAAAATACCTTGAGCGGGATAATGGTAAAGAACCAACACATAGCAATACCATTACCGTGTCCCCTCGATTTTAAAACGCATTTTTAACATTTTAGAATTTCTTAAATCAGGGTGCCTCTTACATTTGATTGCGTCTAAGTATCTACGTTGAGAAGGTATGTTGTATGACTAATGGGCAGGAGAAATCTTCATGTCCATAACACTGGTAATGGAACAGTAAACATAAAGACAGGAACAAGGAATAGTAAATCGAAAGAATGAAATTTTACGTATGAACATTGACAATTCCTATTGTACTACACCATCCTCCATATTCACCCGACCTTTCGCCATGTGACTATGACTTAAAACCGAAATTGAAACAGCCATTGCGAGGAATTGCTTTCTTATACGAAAAGACATTTCCAACGCAGTTCGGCGCGAGATGGCAAGATTTGGAGATGGTGAAGCTCATGGTATTCGCCGTCTTCCTCGCCGTTGGCAGCGAGTACTTTGAAGGTTGCTAGTCCTAATGTAAGAATTCTGATTTAACTCGCATTGAAGTTTTGAAGTTTTTTTAATCACAATTTAATTTTTCGAGGATTAATAAATGAAAAAAAGGTCATTCCGTAATATGCCTATTTTCTTGCCTACTATACCTACATGATCTGACTACGACAATCGGAGGAATATATCGTGCTCTTTCATCTTTCTTCAATATAAAGTGTTTGCTCCCAAAAAATTAGTTGTCATGACTTTTGAAATAACCCTCGTATATTTTTTTTCCCCTGAAAACTTATTATTGAATGAAGATTGTTTCTTACAATGGCGTCACTGATATTTTCCAGTTTTATTCAATAGCAAAAGTCATCTAATAGTCCCAGTATAAGAAAGTTGTATATCCTTTTATGCAGCCCGAAATTTATGCGACCTAATAATAAATCACCTGCATTGAGTCCCAGCGTGCAAGATGCTACGACTAGCCCCGTAGTTACAATGGCCTAGGAATGCTCGGATCTGCATTTGATGGATCTTATGCAGCCTATGCAAATACAGAGTGCCTCTGTATTTGCTTCAGATCGTCCTGTTATGTGGCATTTCTCTCTACAACAGTATCAATTTATTTATGTTTCTGCGAACACAATATAGGCTGCATTTATATAGGCTATTAACAAACCAATATGTTTTGATTATAAGTCCTAAGTCAGCATCAGGCCTCTGGATTTATTCAATTAATCTTTTTCACATAAATAAACCCATGGAAAATACTACATGTCGATATACTAAAATATTAATGTAAGGTCTACGCTGTGTTAACGGAAACACAAGTAGGGCCTAAATATATTACTAAACGGCTCTGTAAGTTACTGATGTTTTACCAAAATCTGGTGGTTATAGTTTATGTGAGTACTTTAACATTGCCCGTATTACGACACTGATATTTTTTTTACAATTGATAATGTTTATAGAATTCATATTATCAGACCCATTATTAAATTAGTGCACCATTAAAGACGCCTAGCTGAGGGACTGCAAGCTTCTCAATAACCGGAACTTTAGGTCACCAAGAAGACCCAATAGAGATTTCATGTC